GAGAGCGCCGTCGGCCGCGATTCTTAGGGTCCTTGCCGCTGCTCTCCAACGTTGTTCCATGGGTCGTGGCCTCCATATCATCGACGCTTGTGCGGCTACGACGCGCTTTCCCTGCGCTACCTCGTGCAAAGCGAGGCTGACATTGTTTGGCCCAACGATGCCTTCAAGGGGCATCGCGGCCTCATCGCATCCAACCTCTCATCCTTGGTTCCTAGGGTTTCGGCGAGAGGGAAAAGAAGGTGGTAACTCATTATGATGCCAATAGGCTTCTCGCAGAGAAATATCTATAGGGGGAGTACTTTGACCTTGTCGACATGGACTCTTTTCACAGTGATTCTTTATTTATTAGATCAACCATTGCTACGATCAAGATTGGAGGGTTATTATATTGCAAATCTAAGGATGGTTATTCTTCTGGCGGGCATCGTCCTTTGCAGATCCTTCCCACTGGTTTTTTACACCTGTTTCTTTCACCGGTCTAGCTTCCTAGTTTTCTGCAGTCTGAAGTCCCTAATTTTTTGCAGGTCCCTACCGCTGGAGGTGCAATTTTTCCTGGAGATCCTTCCCGTTGTTTTTTGGCTCGTTCCCTGCAGCAATCCGACTTCCTAGATTCCAGCAGCTCGGCTTCCCTGATTTCCTTTAATTGTCCACATTTCCAGCAGTCTGGCTTCCCTGATTTCCTGCAGCCTTACAACAGCAGTCCTCTCTTACCATTGTTCTACATCCCAGCTGATGTTAGGCTTCTCAAGGGTGATCCCCTCAAGTTCACTAGCGAATCTCTTCTTGTAACTAAAAACCCTAGCGATGAGGTTTTCTCTGTTTCTACCTACAAAAAGAGGGAGCTTAAGAAAGTTGTCATTTCCACTGGTGTCCATACATTTTTTGGCGAGGTTTCCCACCTTGTTGATAGCACCAATCAATTTGGCCATTTCCAGCAGGTTCCCACCGCCATTGGAAATTTCTGCATTTGTTCCATCGTCATTGGCATGCTTGTAGAGATTATAGTCATGTATCCTATCCAACATTGCAAGTACAGGGATGGGACTGACAACCTGTTTGTCCTTCTAGTTGAAGGCATCTCAATCGCCATGCCTAATGCCTTGTCAGCCACTCTGGCTATTGGATCTCATCGGCTATCACAACAAGGTGCAATTATGAAAAGGATTACTATCATAGTTGGGATGCTTGCAAATCCTACAAAGGTCACTGGCACTGTGTCAGCAAAGGTGCTCCTGAGCAAATACTTAACCTATCCAATGGCAGGAAGGATGTTAAGAATAAGGTTCATAAATTTGTTGAAACATGGACTTTAATCTCCTGCTGCTACTATCCAGGATGTTTCTCCTCCAAAATCTTTCCTGCAACAGGTCCTCTGGAGTTTTTTTTTGCATCAGCCTTTCCTTCGAAACTTTTTTTGTCGCAGACCCCCCTCCAAAATTTTTCCCGCAGCTGACAATGCTCCAAAGCCTTTTTCCTGCATCACGCTCTACCTCCGAAGCTTTTTCTTGCAACAAACCTACATCCAGAGCTTTTCCTTTTTCTTTTCTGCAAGTCATACCCTGCAGTTTCTTCTAAAGGTTGTCTAATTCTCTGCAAACTCTCTAACAACATTACCTTTAGAAGCCTTTAACCTGCCTACAGACACTATAGAATTGTAGTTAAAGACAAACACAATCAACTAGAAGTTTGCAATATCCTACAGTTTGTCTATTTTCTTGCAAATTCACCTCCAACATTACCTATATAAGCCTTTTGTCTATCTACAGACATTGCAGAAACTGCAGTCAAAGACAATCACAATTGACTACTTTCCTGCAAACTCCTTTGCAGCATTACTTGTGGGAGTCTTCCACCTACCTACAAATACTGCATGAGCTACAGTCAAAAATAATCGCAGTACGAGATGAAGGCTTCAATTTCTACTTCACGGGATCTCCCTCGCCAATTGTTTGATATTTTCAAATCAAAGTTAAACATTGTTTTCAACCATATTTCAAATTGAGGGGGAGTGTTAGAAGTAGTTATAATAGGAAATAATTTATTCATCTAAGAAGTTATGAAGAATAAATTATTTTCTTAGATTAGGAATTATTTTCTTTCCTATTTTATATTTATTTTTTTGGATTAGAGTTATTTTCTTTCTTATTTTATGTTATTTCCTTTAACTCCAAATAATTAATATGAATTAATTAAATGGAGACATTAGGTGATATACCTTTCCTTTATATTATTTCTTTTTTATTATCTTTCCTATTTTATGATTCATATAAGGGTTATTTATGCCCCTCTCATATCAATAAAAAAATCTCATTTTATTCCGCATTATTATGAATTTCAACAATTTAAGGTGTTGGCCCTGTCACGTTGCATAAGGGTTTTTATTTCTATATGCAATTGTATTTTCTTTCTGTTCTTCTTTGCGTCTGTTTGGGCAAATAGCTCTATGATTTCTCATTTTTTTGCTTGGCCCTTAACAACATCAGCGCGCAACCGAGTGAAGTGAGATATCTTCTTACAGTCTTTCAGATGTGTTTATTTGCCTTTGCTTGTCTTTTTTATCTCTATCTATCTGAGTGTTAGGGATAGAAAATATTATTGTTCCGTGTTTCATTGTGTGGAATAGAGAGATAACAGATTTGAGAATTTTTATATGTTTTCTATTTACTGTTTAGGTGATTGATTTTCTCTCTTCTTAGTAGTTATGATTTTGATCTAAATTTTTTTGTTATAAATTTTATTTTAAAAATTCAAAGAATGCCATAGTTTTTATAATAATTTCGAGCTTATTTCAAGCTAGTTCACGAGCTGAGCTCAACCAGATTTGTGCTTATTTCAAGCTAGTTCACGACCTGTGCTCAAAAAAATTCGACCTAATTTCAAACAAACAAACGAGAAAGCATTTCTGAGCCAATGATGAGTCATTTCGAGCAATTTCAGACAATATCGAGCTAAAAACAAACATACTAATTTTGAGATTATTTCGAACTCGAGCTAATTTCAAATAACCATTACTACAAAGGAGTCGAACATGAAAAACATCTTTGCTCGCTCATGTTCTGCTTGTTTACAACCCTACTTATGTGGCAGCTCTCAGCTTTGCATGCAATCGGGTTCCACTGCGCTTAATGCTTGGTCACACAATTCTATTAGGTCTTTCACATGTCATCACCTCAATTTTGTTTGGGCTCGCATTGTTGTTCGCTCAAGCTCCAAAAGTGATCCATTCAATCGATCCTCTACACTCGCTCTTCACCCTTAGTTACGCATGGGCTTAATGTCCACTTCATTTTTTCTTATTTCCTTCACCTTCCCCTCTTCCTTTCACGTTCTTCCTTCACCTCCCCCTCTTCCTTTCACGTTCTTTGCTATCAAGCGTTCGATTTCCCCTTTCACTCGCTTTCTCATTTATAGTCGCATGAGCCCCTCTTCGCTTCTTGCTTGATTATATTCTTCACCCTGTACCCTCCCCTTAGTCTCCCCATTGCTCGCCTCCCATTCTCCATCTCTCTTAATAATACTAAATGCCATTTCCCAGATTCCCAAGCATTATAATAAGGTTTCTTTCTTTTTTTCTCCCCTTTTTCTTTGAGTTCACGTTCATTACATAATTATCATTGAGATAGATTTGACCCTAATTAGCAGTTTACAAGACCTTTAGACTACATTTCATATGAAGAATCTTGGTGCCCATCTTGATTTTGAATTCTTATACCAGTTCCTCTAGTATTTTTCTGGATTTAATTAGTTTTGTTTAGCCTCAAAATAGCAACCCATATGGATATTTCATTAAATGTAAACAAAAAATATCTAAGACAGGCAATTTTCTTCCTAATCCCACAGCATTTAGACAGATAACAGGCAGCTTAAATTATTTAACAATTACTTGGCCAAGTTCCTACACCGTTCAACAAGTCAATCCATTCACAATCCTCATCACTAACATTTGGCTGCGGTTCTTCAAATTATTCAATATCTTATTGAGATATCAAATATTGATTTGTTCTTTTCACACAAATATACTTTTTTAATCTTGAAGGTTATAGTAAATATGGTTTAGGCTGGATATCCTGAAACTCATCACTCAGTCAATAGATGATATATGCTTCTTAGCGGTCCATTAATCTCATAAAAGAGTTAAACACAGCAAAGAGTGTCTAAAATATCTAATGAATCTGAGTGCCTTGTAATGTCTGCATTACACTCAAAGATTATCAAGATTCATATATTTCGATCAAAATTTGATTTTCCAAATAACAATCCCACTCCACACATGCAGATAATGTGTGACATACAGATTGTTGCCACTATGATTTAGCATGAGCGAATAAAATATAATGAAGATGATCATCACTCAATAGTGAAGATATTTGATGGTATATGTACTTCACTAAGATATTTGATGGTAAATGTACCTTTGATAGAACCAAAAACAAGATAAAGAGCCTTCAACAGAACTAAACGCCATAGAGGAACATCCATAAACATATAACTTGAGAAACTTAGAAAGAAACAGGAGAGGACTAGTTCAGAGAAGGCTAGACAAGGATGAGTTATGATTTAACATGCACAAATGAACAAAAAAGAATACTAGATATAATTATTTTGACCAAAATCATCAGTGAAATATGTTATTCATGATTTAAAAGAAAAATAATAATAATAAGAGAGAAATTTACATACATACAACACAATTCTTATGTATTTACATATCTAACACACAAAGTTTGACATTTACACTTATAACTCCGTGATGCCATAGACTTATGCTTAAAAAGATGTATTTCACTTTTAAAAAGTAGCAATGGTAGTAATTTCCATGTGATGTCAAAGATTTGAGTGGTATGCATGTAAATATGAATATGTTTGAGTGTTAGATATGTAAAAAAAAATAAAAATTGTAAATGCCCCTTAAAAAAACCATATCATCTATAATGCACCGTACTTTCAGATCACCTAAAATCAACCTCATAATAAAAAAATAATGCAAGAAATATAGTCAATCCTAGGTGAGCACTCCTATGATATAAGTTCTAGCTCAAATACTTGATTCTACAATCCATGACAAACGGAAACGAGCCCATGTTTCGATGGTTCACTGAACTACCCTCCAAATTTAAGTCGCATGAAGACACAAATTTATAACTTCGTTTGTTAAACTACAAAAAAAAAAAGATTCCCACTACCAAACTTCTGAAATTCTGGTTTTCCAGTGGAGGTAGATTTCCTTCAAAACACAATGAAAAATTACACTTTCTGATAAAAAATGAAAGTAGCTTACTATTGTAAAGAGGGGCAGGTCAGCACTATATTTTTTTTCAATTAACTGAAAAAATAGCTTCAGAATAGAAACAAATAGCAATTTTCTTGTTCCCCACTTCTAGACTTGGATACAGCCCATGCAAACCTGACCCAACCCAACCAATGCATTCGTGGGCTTGAGTGATTCAACCCAATTCTGGCTTTTTGCGAAAAAAATACTCGTTAATTCTCAGCTTAGGTCACAACCAATCAAATCCGATAAACTTACAACCATATGACAGATTTAACATGTCTATGAAGTTCAAGTAAAACAAGACTGCTACGTGCAAATACAAGCTCACAAGCTTTAAAAAGACCCTACAATCAACTTACCTGTGATTCAAAGGAGCAAAGATAGTTCTGAATGTTCTTAAGATTGTGAATCAACTTATCTTGATCCTGCGGAACAAAAAACATCACATCATTACTTATGCCACTCAATAAAACACAAGAGAATAAAAAGACAGTAATAAAATTAATAAGTCCACATAAATCCACAAAATAGAGGCAAAGCAAACTTTATTTAGTTGAATGTTTGCATAACAAAACTAAGCCATACAATTGATCTGAGAAACTCCAACAAGAAGTTTGCAAAAGAACTTCAAAGACAGTGATAGCCATAAATTGCAAAATGGTAAGAGAGAAAAAAAATCAAAAGCCATAATTCGTCAAAATAATTATTAAAGTGCACTGAATAAATTAACAGAATCCCACTAATTACATGCAGCCAATATCAACATTCTCAAAATTGATCTTTACTACAATCTTCCAACAACTGTCCAAATTTATCTCCCTAACACTTAAATAATCAAAATCCCTCAGAAGTGTTACAACAAGACATATTCTTTGCACAATTTCTTTATTTTCTTTTAATTAGTTGGTAATTCTTTATTTATTTTTTGTGTAATTAATAGCACATGCCAGTGATGATGGTGGTAACTTAATTCATATAGTTTGGCATGACTTCAATCTTTATTCAGTTTTGTGTAAATTTCCACAATGCTAGAGCTAATATGTGTGAATGAAGTACCTAATGCTGTTCTTTGATTTCTGAATTTATTTCCTAGAAATCTATTATTTTTTATGGTTAAAATGAAAAACCTTTGCACGATAATATAATAGTACAATATTACCTGGACGGGACATTTTTCCCCATATGTTCGGGTGGATATCCACTCCTCCAATAATGCCTGCATTCATGGGTAGCCAAAATTATAGTAAGATTAAGTAAAGAGAATAAATATGATTCAAATAAAATCATAATCATTAGCTTTATTCCAACAATTTGGGTCAACTTTATGAATACTCTTAAAAATTATTTTTTTAGCATTACATGAAAAGTTCACTCTATACTGTGCACAACTTCTGCCAATGTTGTCACTGTTATATCAAATTTATTATTCAATCCTTCCATATTGATTATTTCAATTGTCTATATTGGTCTTAGTGGTGCATCTTACCCTTCTGAGACATGCTCGAATCACTTAATTCTAGATCTTCGACTACGCTATCTTCAATGTGTGTTAATTCAATCACCCTTCTGATAAAATCATTTCTCATTCCATCCCAACAAATTTTATCACATATCCATTTTAACATTATGATATTAAATTACTTACACAACCATAAAGTATTACTGGACAGTTAATAACCATTCTTCATTGAAAAATGGAGATAAGATAAAGGATGAATTTGAACGAGTTAGAGAGACATTACCCTGAACAGAGGAACTTGTAATGGCACAATGGTTGGACAAAGAGTTTACAAAGAAAATGAGGAGCAAAGTAAAAGGTTGCGTTGAATTTCTCCCTCTCCCTCTCCCTCTCCCTCTCCCTCTCCCTCTCTCTCTTCCGTGGTGCGGTGACACTCCAATCATAGCAAAGAACTTAAGGCACGCGGATCAAAGCCTTGTATTATTGAATTAATTTCTCCGAGTGCAATCTATATGCTACCCTATATGATCATTGATCCCTTCTTATTCCTCCCACCTTATTTATTTATTTATTCCTATTTTATAATACCTCTTAAGGATGTATATGTATCTCCTCTCTTATACAAAACATAAACAATAAAAAATCTCGATAGTTTTTTCCATTATTTTATTTTCAATAGTTTTATTTATTTATTTAGCTTTCGAAAGTTCAATGCAAGCTTAACAAAGTACCCAAGTTTAAAAGGCAAATCTACAAGCCTCTAAAAGAGTGAAAATTTATATGAGGATATAATTATGATCTAATTAACCAATTTAATTTGCAAGTTTCTAAATAAACATTCTAACAAACATGCAGGAAAAAAAGGTACGTTGGTAGCAACATGTCCATCAAAACTAAAATCAATTATAATAACAATATGACCGAGTCTTCACATCTATTCATTCATGATATTGCATAAAGTAGCTCAATAATAAACCAATTTATACCAAAAATTGTTGAAAACAAAAGACTAGATTAATCGGGTTAACCTTTACTCAGAGGGAGCTTGAAAATAGAGAAAAAAAAATGATAAATAGAACAAAACTAGAGTTTGAATTAAATTTTAATCATTGCCTTAGATATTATTCCTTTTCTTATAGCAATTTTATCGCATTTCAAATCCTAATACTTAGTCATCCAACATCAAGTTTTTTTTTTTCAAAAGAAAAAATACTTCACATTATTTTCGAGAAAATAAAGAAGCTACCAACAATTGCTCTATCCAAAGAGTGAAGTCATGGAGGATGCACGTGCAACAAAACACTAGAACATTTACCATACAAGTCAAAATTAAGATGTATTAGATTTATAACGGCAATCAAATCCCTAGCCATTACTAATCATTATTTCTTTTCTATTAGCTTTTATTCCCTCAATTGAAAACTCTTATTCAGGTCCTTCGAATAGACAATAGTTGTTGTGAGTTTTTCAACTCTATTTTGGGTGAATTCTTGGAGGGCAAGGGCATCCTCCACCAAAGCTCGTGTACGGATACTCCTCAACAAAATGTAGTCGAGAAGAAAAACCGTCACATCCTCGACGTTGCTCGCTCCATTATGTTTCATTCCAATGTCCCAAAACGTTTTTGGAATGATGTCATCTTTATTTCCACCTATCTCATAAACACTCTCCTCGTTTTGAACCCCTTTAACCGTCCCAATGCCATATGCTTCCCTGCCAATCAAGTCTTCTCCACATTAGACCCCAAGATTTTTGGGTGCATTGTCTTTATTTGGAACACTGGCACCAATCGGAGTAAACTTGATCTCATATCCATAAAATATATCTTCTTTGTGTACTCCGCCACTCAAAAAGGGTATTAGTACTTTGATCCTACCACTAAAAAAATCTATTTGAATGTTGACGTCTCATTCTTTTAAAGTGTTCCCTATTTTCCTAGCTAAACCACAAGTAAGAGAGAGCTTTTCTTAGACACTATCCCTTATCATACTCCTATGGATATTCCCTCCAGTGTTCCTGCCACTAAAGAGTCCACTGTTCCGATGAGTGCACCAACCGAGGAGTTCCAGGATCAAGTGAGGCACCATCTCCTTCTCCCACTACTCGTGTTTACGCTAGGCGCACTCGTTACACTGCTCCTACAGTGAACCTGCTGCCTCCTTACAGGACCTTGACTCCAATACAGGCAACATCCTCAGTATGTCCCGAATGAGGTGAGTTCTCCGAATAAGTTATGCAAGCAGAAATGCTCCCTCTATTCTATGGAAAAATAAGTTTTTTTCTGCACTTTATCACCGACCTACAAAGCATTTGCTACTGCCTTGAAGGACTATCAGATCCTAGCTAATATTGAGGTTGTTCATGCTGATCAAGCTTGAAAAATAGCAGTAATGGAGAAGATGAATAACCTTTAGTGGAACCATACATGGGACATCATTGATCTTCCTCAGGGTAAGAAAGCTGTAGGGTGTCAATGGATTTTCGCACCAAGTTCAACTCTGGTAGATTATTTCAACGCAACAAGGCACCGATCATCAAAGAACACTCACAGAACTACAGAGTTGACTATGATGAGACATTTGCTTCAGTGGCTAAGTTAAACACTTCGGGTCATGTTGTCCCTTGCAATATATGCGGATTGGTTTTATTCCATCTAGTTGTCAAGAATGCGTTCTTGAATAGAGAGCTTACAAAAGAGGTAGAAATGTCTCTCCCTCCTAGCTTTGACTCAACTACCTCCAAAGGCCAAGTGTGCAGGCTATGCAAGTCTCTCTATGGGCTAAAGCAATCCCAAGTGTCTGGTTTAGCAAGTTCACAAAAGTGGTTTTGGGCCGTGATTTTACTCTGGCTCAATCGGATCACACTCTCTTCTTCCGGCATTCATCCAATGTTCAAATTGCTATAATTATTCTATGTTTACAATATTGCTCTTATAGAAAACAATCTCCCTGCATTGGAATCCTTGAAAAACATTCTTGTCAAATCCTTTGAAATGAAGGACTTCGGATCTCTCCAGTACTTTATAGGCATGGAAATAACATTTCTTATCTCAGCGCAAATGTGTGGTTGATCTCTTCACAGAAAACAATCTTTTTCTGTACAAATCAGTTGTTGTCTCAATGGATCCCAATAAAAAATTATCTAACATTCTCAATGTTTTGTCTGTCAACAAGGCTCACTACGAGAGCCTTATGGGGAAACTCACTACCCCACCCACACTCGCCCCGACATATGCCACGTAGTTGGTATACTGAGTCAATTCATGCATGACCCCTATGAAAATCATCTTCAAGTTGCCCGCCCACCAGATTCTCCACTATTTAAAAAATACACTGGGCTCAGGTTTGTTTTTTCTCTCATCACACTTCTCGGTCTATTATTGTGTATAAAGATGTTGATTGAGTCGGGTTGGTTCATGACCGACGTTCCACTTCGGGTTTTTGCTCATTTATATGGAAAAATCTAGTCACATGGAAAAGTAAAAACAAGTCTGTGGTTGCCCAAAACAGTGTTGGAGTTAAATTTTGGTCCATGTCCTGGAGGATGAAGAGTCTGGTTAGGCATCATGCTCCGTGAACTTCGTATGCCAACCTCTGCCCCGCTGCAATTATTATGTGATAATAATTCCGCCATCATCATTGCTCACAATCCAGTTCAGCGTGATCGTAACAAACATATTGAGATTGACAGACTCTTCATTAAGGAATAGATTGAGTACGAGAAAATTTGTATTCATCTTGCGTCATCCAGTGGTCAACTAGCGAATATCCTCACCAAGAATCTTCCCCATCCATTGCTCAATGACTTCAAATCCAAATTGAATATGATTAACGTCTATTCTTCAACTTGATGGAGAGTATTAGATTTATAAGGACAATCAAATCTCTAGCCGTAATCATTTTTTATTTCTTTCTTATTAGCTTTTATTCCCTTATTATGTATTTCCTTTTTACTTTATTCTATTTTATTTATTTCCTATTTGGTTTATTATGTGTTATTTCTTTCTTTTCTAGTGTCTATTGTAATTGGGTTTAAATACCCCTCATTTCATCAATAAAATTAAACTACTCTATTCCAAATCTCAACAAAATATCAAATAAAATTATGATAAATCAAAGTATCCAAATGTGTCGTTACTTGGTTATAATCAATATGATTTCATCCCACTATAATCTTTTAGCAAGTTCCATTCTACATTTAAGAAAAATATTTTCCAAAACATTTGACCAAAACTTTAAAAGCATAAAAATATAGGGAATTTTCCCCCTACTTGGATGAAAATCAATGTAAATTAATCAATATATCTGAATGACAGATCATATCAAAATGTGATAGGTTTAAACACATCAACCAATTATATGGTTAGGTAAAATTGAAAAGTATCTAGCTAAAACTGTGCCATTAAAGGGTCATTGCATTCTGTAAAATTGAAATTTGCCGATTATGCTATATAGGCTCTATGGTCGAATGACATATAAGTTGCTAACAAACTAGTAGATTGCGGTAGAAATGTGATGCTTAAAAGGTTGTATGGCAAGAGGAACTCAGTTAAAAGACAAATAAATAAAAACTAAATCCAATTTATATCCTCCACCCAAACCCACATAGTAATCTTAAGAGTCTATTTCACATTCCAGACCCAAGTACAGATTGAAAACTTGAATTATGTCATAGCTTGACATAAATCCCCTGCAAAGAATCAGAAGTTCATTGAAAATTGCATAACTCGTCCCCAGTAAATAACTTCCCTTGGATTTCACTCTCTCTTCCTTCTGTAAACGGCAAGAACTCTTCTGTTTTGGTCTCCCCATAGCTATATTGCAACTTCCCTTCTCGACTTCTGCTTAAACAAAATGTAGTAGAATTGTTGTGTTTTTTAAGAAAAGTATCACAAGGGCTTAAATAATTGCCTGCTGCTTGAATTCTAGGATCTACAGGAAGAAACTGCAGAAGAAAGAAGCCTATGTTCTCTGAAAAACAAAAAGACCAATAGTTGAGAGGTTTCTAGAGGCTACTCATAGTGAATGCCGGTAAAAGATGGAGACAGGAAAAGAAAATGAGAGTCAAAATTTAAAAGAAATTCATAATGAATTGATTTGTGAGATTCGAAGTCTGCTGAAAAGAGAAAAAAGGAAGGTCCAAACACACTTTGGAGTGATCCACATACACTTCTTAGATCCAATGAACACCTATATCAACAATACAATTACAAAGAGCATGGATTATATCTATAAGAAATAGTATTGCAAAGACAAGGACAAACTTTAATGTAAATATAATCATATCAAAACCAACAAACTTTAAATTTAATCCTATACTAACGTAAGAGAAAATAATACCCAAGAAAATAATTCAAATGTAAAAATTAGAAGATATTCAAAAAAAAATATCAAGGGCTTAGAAAGAGTTGGAATCAAGTCGATTCATATATATATTTTAGCTTGGATTAGCTTTTGGTGTCGCCTATGGCCACTTAGGCTCTTATGAATTGAATTAGCCTATGTGAAGGCCAATATTGCAACACCTATTTCTAGGCAAAATTATGATAGGAAATAATTTGAAGTTGGACCTCATACACCCTAACTTGGCTCTACAATCCAAGGAAAACAATTCCCACAAAAACCCATAACATAAGCAACCTAAATAATGCCAAATTTATAAGAAAAAATATAACAATTTTATCCTAATTCAATCTTATTGAAGCTTGATAAATCTAGATAACAATCTCATTGAGATATAACAAGGATTCAAGTTCGGCCAATCCCTCTAAAAATAACCTCAAGGTTAGAGCCCTTATGTCCCTCAATGGCTCTCTGCTCTTTGAAACGTGGATCATAAGGCATATTTGATGGGCACAAAACCATCTATTAGCTAAGGTCGACTTAAATTAGTCTCCTCGGACAAACTTCACCTTAGGTTTATAAGGTCTCGTTAGACGAAGCAACCCATAAATGCTAACAAGATCCTTCGGTCATGTTGGGTTGAATACCTCCTCTGACTAAGTAAATTGGGGTTCATGACAACCCGAGATAATGGAACCATAGGAACTTAAACCGGTGTGCCATCATTTCCCCAACATAATACTTTTAAGCTCAAAGTGATAAATTCTTAGTTTCAATCAAGTTTGTAAATTCAAATTCTAAATTGTTGTTACTATAAGTTGAGTAATCAGTGTCTTAATGGCAAATCTTAATCGAAAGTGCTCTCTCATTATCAGGAGAGATAATTAACCACCCATTAAACCACAAATAAAAAAATTCTCCCGATGGTGAAATCTCTAGATAGTGTCTTATCTATAATTTCATTTGTGTTCTGAAAATTTAGCCTGGAACCACAAGTAAACTCTTGTCATTTATATTTCAAGAGGGGTCAGGGCAACAAATTATTAAAGCCAGCACACAAAAAATGTAGAGTATTTTAAATGCACTATTTTTAAGTTATTGTGCATTTATCTAACAAAACAAAAAAAAAAAAAAATAGCTTCCCCGCATTTACTTTACAGGCAACCAAACAACCATTAGTAAATGCAATCAAAATTCACAACATTCAATTTTACTCTACATTTAAGGGTTTTTTGGTTGAAGTTTTAATCTACATTTTACTCTACATCCAATTTTCAAAATACACAACATTTTACTCTACATCCAAAAAACCATACCTTCACAACTTTTTACTCTACATCTAAGCAAACCATACCTTGGTTGAAGTTTTACTCTGCATTTAGCACTTCGAAAACTCTAATCTGGAGTCCTTATGTTAGAAGAATTTCAATCCTCCGTGATCAAAACTTCAACAAAGGTATGGTTTGCATTCCAACCTCCCACATATCAACTTGTCTTTAGCAACTAAGGTTTTAAGAAGTTTCTAACAGATTTTTTAAATTTTATTTGGAAACTACAACTTTGAGAGCCTCCAAGCCCATGGAGCTTCAAAACATCTTATCTTTATAAGACTCCTAGATTATAGCTCCCTGTCTTCCTATTTGCTTAACTAAAAACCCAAAGTCATATCTTTGGAGTATAATTGGCTTGGCTTTATTTTGATGGTAATACCTCCTCTTTCTAAAAAAATAGAAAAGGCACTCGCTTCTTGTCCTACTTTTGCATGAGATGGTAAGAATTTAACTCTTTGAGTTCATCATTAACATAAGGCTTCTCCCCCATTGCCCTTTTGGAAGGCATTTTTTTTCTTTTGGATGTCATCGAGTAGTTGAAGGTACATCTTTTCGTAAGTGTATATAGCTTGGTTACTCAATCTTTTTCACCTTCATAAAGACCATTTTAAATTGTCTGCAAATAAAAGATACCTCATGTTAAGGTCTTTCGTTGTAGAAGACTTCCCTACTCAAATTTCTCTTTTTCTTCTTATAAACAGCAAGAACGGCTCTCTGTTTTGCTCTCTCAAGAATGAAACTACCCTCATCATGCCTAACTTTTAACAAAGAAAAATTGATTTGTTATTTTTTACATCTTGTTTTGCTTAAAAAAGCATGCAGGTAATATTTATAGGTGCTACACAGCAATGGCAACAATGGCTACAGTGCCAGTTGGCTTGGTGGTGAATACTAGTGAATTATAGCTTCTGCAGGGGCAGCACTGGCGACAGCAGTGTAATACGGCTGGAAGAAAGGAAAAATGAAGAATTGCGGGATACTTTATGATGAATTTCATTGCATTATGACATGCAAATGAATAGGAAAAATTATAACATAAATAACTAAAATTAAAACTCATCACTAACTTAAATTTGCAATCCAAGAGACTAAATTTCAAACAAACTCCCGAATATAAACAACCAATATTCAAATAATAACCAATTTAACAAGAAATTTAAGAACAAAATAGAGCAAATTTTATCCTTATCCGATCTTATAATAAGGAAGCTTGATCTCCTACATCTGTCAACTCATATAGATTCCGAGTGAGGTCTTCTTCAATCTTAAAGGTATGACCTAGAAATCACCACCATCAGCAATCTTTATTGAGGAATCAAATCATCTAAAATCAACTAACCTGATCTTCTACTGCCTTCATAATCTGAACGCCATATCCATTTACTTTTTTTCTCTGATGAGAAGGGTACCCAATTTTTCTATCAAAACAAGGGGTCATTTACATACATAGTACACAATTCTTATGTATTTACATATATCGCACAAACATTCATATGTACACACATAGCACTCTAATCTTTAATAACACATCAAAAATAGCATTATTATCACTTTTTAAAAGTTAAATACACATTTTCATACATAGGTTTAAAGTATTAAAATGCTATATATGTAAGTATGAAAGTTTAGGTGTTCGATATGAATGCATAAACTTGAATGGTCGGGATTTAAATTTCCCAAAAAAAAATAAAAAAAGAAATGACATGATGATTGTAAATTGTTACAACACACAAAGGGCATCCAGTATACATAGACAATATTCCAACAGAAATTTGTACAACGATTCAACGAAATAAACTAGGTGAATGCCTGCATTTATTTGAAACTACTAAATGAATTAGGAAATAAATAATAGCGTGAGAATAACTATTCAAATTTGAGAATCATCTAAGAATATGAATGATAAGAAACACTGATTCATAAAATAGACCCCAAATAGTTGGGATACTGCTAACGATGATGAAGATCTAAGAAATAAATGAAACAAATACCTTGTGATCAAATTCAGCCATTTTTAACACTATAGGAACAATAATAGGATCAACAGCAGGCTTCACTTTATTCACAGGATAATTGTTTCTAATATCTGAATCTTTTGGACCTTCATCTGTAGTAATCACAGAAAGTATGTCAGAAAAATCAATAGAAAACCACAATTTGTTGGAACATATACTGCAAAAATAAAATAAAGTAAAACAAGATTGAGGAGTATGATAGAAAAGAAAAACCTTTTTCTCCATTATTTGAGTCTTTATGTCTCAGATTCTCTGGACATTTTTTATTATCCAAAATCTGGGGAATAGAATTGTTGATCTCAATGCCTTCCCTTTCATATGAGCAATCCTTATTTTCCTTATCTATGCTTGTTGAGTTGAGTTCACTGGTGGAAACATTTTTCATCTTTTCTTCAGCAGAAAAATCACCATTGGCATTTCCATGTACTTCGTTCTCGTTATGAACAGTAGAGATTTCTCTTTTCTCTTCATCTATTAGATAGATGCTTGGATCCAAATGAATTCCCTGTAAAAATTAAAGTTGTAATCTGAATAATAAAACATTAAAAATAAACCAAGGAAGAAAGTAGAATTACAGTGGAGAGGTTTTAATAGTTCTCATATACAAAAAAATATGCAGCCATAATAATTTGTCAGCCAACTTTGCATGCAATGATTAGGCCTGGAGTATTATTTTATAATGCTATTCAGCTAAAGTTAAGACTTCCAACTGAAGGAGATCCTCCTTTCTTATAAGAAAATTCAGCTTCTGATCGGTGAAGTAGCAAATCTTAAATATCTTGGTGGCAGAGTGAAGTTTCTTCTTAATATTCAGAAAGAACTTGTCAGAAATCATAGAAACAATCTCCAAATTCCTCAAGTTGACAATCATAGAAAATGGAAAGCAACATTGAAACCCATAACAGATTAGAGTTCGCATAAACAAGGCATCAACATGATCACTTTCAAGAACATCAAAGATCGCCGAGGTTCATGGCAGGGAGTTCTGATTTCGAAAAGTTATCATAAAAGTAAATTGGAAAGGCAAAAAAAATTTATGGAAGGATGAAATCGGCTGCCCAAATGATATAAATAGAGCCCAACTCAAGGGCAGCAAATGAACCAAATGTTTGAAGAGCTACTCGCAGATGAACTTGGTTAAAGCAGGTTCATGATCATTTAATTAACTAAAAGAACAAACTTAAACACTTGCATGATGCTTTAGTTATTAAATGCATAAGTTTGAATAGATTTTTGCTCAATTCATTTATGATCATGAATAGTATCGCTTAAAGCTCATAAATAAGTTCATTAAAAAGCTCGATATACAACTCAACTAAGACTCGATATAATACTCAAAATTGAGATTTAATTAAGTAATTAACCATTGATGCGTATAAAAGTATATGTGCAACATAAATAAAAATATATGCATATTAAATAATTTCAAAAATAGGCATTAGATTTTTTTTCCAATAGAAATTCTTGAGTATTTATTAAAATGCTTAGGAATATTTTAGGAATATTAAAAGATGTTGGGTAAGGCTAGAAAGATATTTTTGGCACTAACTACTCTCAAAATGGTCAATAGAAGTTCAAGTCATTAAATGGTTTTGTGGATCTATTTTTAGAATTAAATGAATAAGTGGAAGCATAACATGATATCCCCACTACAAATGCTTTCTAGTCCGTTGCTTATGAAGTTTAAATGACAAGGCTCTATCACCAAACCCAATTGCTAGAGCAGCATAACCTATAACCAAGGGCCATGCAGGATCTTGCAAGTGTGTCAAAATCACCGTGTGAACAAGCTTTAAAGAAGATTTAATATGTTACTAAAAAATTTCATAAAATTAATCCCCATGATATAAAAACTAATTAATTTAAAATCTCAATTTTTAAGGTTAAAAAGTTTAGCTCAACAAAGCAAGTTTATTTTTCCAAATGAACTGCATGTTTAAAACTCATTGTTTTTACCCAAATAAGATCTTCTTTTAAAGCTCAAAAATCATAAAATAAAAAAACTTGATCTGAGCTCTAACCAAGCTCGAAAAAACAAGATTTTAAAAGAACCAAAATTGACAGCACAAAAAAAAGCTCAAATTGAGCTTGAGCAAGGTTTTCGTAATCATACTCCAGCTTGAACAGCCACCTGCTCGGCTTGACTCTGTTTGCAGCCCTACCCATCTCTTTCTATATATTCACCTATCTTTAATGGTAAAAGTTTCACTAAATACTGAGAAAAATGCTGGAAGGTTGAAATTTCCCAATATTAATGATATAGATAATGTTCTAGCAAATGCAAATGAAAATTGAGGATTTAGAAAGTCAACTCTAAATAGTTAATGAAAAACTAAAAAAATATTATGATACCATAATCCCTAATACATATAATAATAAAACCAAAGACTTTATCGAATACTTGTATCTCAAAATAAAAATAAGAAGAAAGAACAACACTTCAAATTTTTGTTGAAAAAATGTGGAGTTTTTTGCAAGTTATTTTCAGAGACATTTCCATAAATATATTTTAGCAACAAAAAGAAGATTGTAGTAGAAAATTTCTACAAGGATTTGTTCATGAACAAAGACGTAAACAAATTCATGTAGTCATTTAATCGCACTTCTCATTATAAAGCTTAATTATGTTATCAGCATAAAAAACCTTTCTAATTCTTGACACTATACATATAAATATGCACATAGATAGAGCTCTATTTTTCAATCCCTATTCTCAATTTATTTTTCTTCTATATTCATTCCTTCTGTTTTCCATTTTCTATCTAAAAAACTTTTTCCCATCTATTTCTTTTGAGTGCCTTATTCATTACTTTGAGTGCTAAAGAGTATTAATTTTAATTTACATAAGTTTTTTTCACAACTTCTAGCCATATTATCTTTAACTTACCATTTTTATTCGTCAATTAATAGCCAAAAACTCAGCTTATAAGTGCAGCTTTTACTCACAATATAGCCCAAACCACCTAAACACAATGTACACATTTTTTATTCGTAGGTTACTCTTACTCCATCATCCCCCTAATGTAATCCTCTAGTTGTTCTTCCTAATTTTACCAGTACATTCATCTCAGAAGTCTAATTTTCACCACAATATTTTTATTGTTTCCAACCATTATATTCAATAGTCAATCTAATTGCAATTTTATGAATTTTTCTAAATATATAGAACTTTTATTAAGCTACAAACCGTCTCTTCCACTCACAAATAATTTTTTTCTGTGAAAGAATTAAGAAACTAAAAATTGATTTTCACCTATATTATAAAAGATGTACACTCAGTCCATCTATCACCTCCTCCAACCTTCCCACACTACCCATTATGTCCCTCTCTACCTCCTACCCTTTCTCTCTCTATAAATCTCACCGACAAACTCACATAAATTGCTCACGATTTTCTTTCATTCCTAAACTCAAACAAAGATGCTTCAAAGTTAAAAAATTCATTTGAGTATAAAGAAAACAATAACAACTTTAAGAGCCGTTTGAGAAAGTGGTGGGGCTTCGTTCCATTTAGAGAACGACAGCAAAACGTAAAGGTTTTTTTGGTACATCGCCGTCAATGCACGATGCGTTGACCACAACCGCATTTTGTTGTTGTTTCAAAACGCCAAATCTACAATTGCTTCCGGCCAGCCACCGAGTGTTCTATTATTTGAAAAATTGAAAAGTTCAAAATAGTCTCGACAGTAAATCCCCGTAGCCGGCGCGAAGTCCGTGGTTTGTGAAGAGTGCGTCGCGGCGGAGGAAGGATGGTCGGATGATTTCCAATGCTATGTGTACAATGTTGGGATTCCATTCTATGGTGGAGTCGGAGAAGATGGTCTTGACAAGATTTTAAGCGTGCACAACTCAATTACGGTAGGCTTCTGTTTTATCTTGAAATGGTCGGAGGAGAACATCCATTTTTATGTAAAATCTTGAAAGGCTGGAGATAATGATACTTTTTCTGTAATATCTCGAAAAGGGAGGGAAATTCACATTTGCAAAAGCTGCAATGAAGGAGCACGGAAGCCATGAAAAAGGAGGAAGAAATGATGGTGCGGCTGTGGAAAATTTAGTCTTTCACTTTTGTAAAAGCTGAAGAAAGATTTGGTATTGAAATGAGATATTCAGTTCAGAAATAATGTTTTTATATTGCTGTTTTTTATTTTTAATTACACTTAAAAGAACTTTTTTGAAAGACAAAGTGGTCCCAAATGAAGCCTAAGAATTCATCTCTCTTTAACGCCAAGAAAAATTCCTCCAATACTTTTTCGAAGTGATGCTAGAAATTCTAGCACAATCCAAAGCTAATCTCAAGTTTATAAGAATGTTACTAGTCACCAACATATTTTGCCAGTCGTGTATGAATAGACTACAAGCAACCTCTTCCTAAGATCAATACTTATTATAAAGCTCAAGTACTACCGTACAGTTGAACACTAAAAAATAGTATTATTGATGTAGAGATGTGATTAATGTTCTAAGATATCTTTAGACATACAAAAAAAAAAAAAAAAAAAAAAAAAAAAAAACACTACTAGAATCATATACAAATGGTGCACCCAGTACACATGATTATCTTCCATCTAGCAAAATTGTTTACATTTTGTTCAATGTGCATAAAGTTAAATAATGTTCTGCAAACTTCATATTCTACTTGGAAAATAATAAACATGTGGAAATCAACCTCAATAATAATAGGCTTCCCATCTTTCATTGCCTTCTTCAAATCACCAGCCAAGCCTAACAAAATAGTAGTTCAGTATTTAGTTCAGGAAAGGACATAAGAAAACTAAACACTGAGAAAAAATGAGTGACACCTTTCACTCAAAAGTAGCATACTAATGAGGCTAATAGCTAAAAGTCATCGGAATGATATAATAGAAGAAAAGCTTTGCATTTACCTTTCCTCACAATTCTACACTCCCTACAGAATTCTGTAATGAGTTCTTCTGAGGAATTAAATTCCCGTGCCCAGACTGGTGTACCAGCTAAGGGAGCACTGCATAAAACATGCAAAATGAATATTTACCAAGTTATTCATCACTGTAGGCTGAACGACAAATAAGAGACAAAACTGCAACTTCAGAGAAAAAAGAATGTATTAGACACTAGCACGAATGGAACAAACCAAAAGGATTTGAAAAAATAGCCTCTTTTATTTTCCATGTTAATATTAATTTCATTCGAGAGAAGTGTCTAAAGACAAAATTAGTGCTATCATAAACTTTGGGACTAAAATAACCCCCTACAAAGAGTCGGGAGACCATTTTGGCAAATTACTCAATTTCATTCTATATCCATGTTTGAATTTCCATGCTTTAACTTTCTATTTTATTCGTATGAGTTTAACGTCTTTACGGAGTCTGCTTCTTCCTGTTGAGTCAGTTCCAAATGTCGATCCCTTCCCTACCCAAAATGGGTAAAAGATTTTGAATCCCGGGAAATATTCTAGGCGTAGATTATATAGAATTTTTTTGATGTAAATTATATTACTGTTATAACAAACCATGACTTCTATCTAAAAGGCATCACCTCCACAATTGTAACACTAAAAAAATAGTAAATTTCGTGTGGTTATGGATGCAGAAATTATCTCCAAACCATATAAAATCTATGTTGTAGGTGATCTTCTGAGGCTATATCCTTTAGTCTTCCATTTTTATCTTAATAGGGTGTTAAATTCTGTGCTTGATTGCAAGAAACTTACTAGCCATTCCTTCAGAGTATAAATCTTTTAATTCAAGTCCAATACCTTAGTATTATATATTCCATACATATACACATACATATATATACATACATTTGTATATATACCTATATATACATACATTTGTGTGTGTGTGTGTGTGTAGATATATAGATATATATATACACACACATATGTATACATGTATGTATTCCCTAGATATATCATATTTTAAGTCATGATGAAAAGTTTCAGAAAATGAAAAATTAAAGAGGGCATTAGTCATATATAACAGCATGTCCTAACTTGAAATGGAGAAGTAATCAAGATAAACGTAACTCAGTTGATGTCCGCAGTAACTCGTATACCATATCTGTCTGTGCAATGATAAAAATTAGTTGCAAATCATTTTATTAAGAAGAAAAAAAACACAATTCAACAGATTACTTGTAGAAAAAACCTTCACCTGTAACACATTGGGCAAGTTAAGCCGTTGCGCAAGTTGCGTGGAGATTGTGGATTTTCCCGTGCAAGCCGTTCCACACACGAGAATAACTAAAGGCACTCGTTGGTGATGAAATCTATACCGCGATTAAGTAGAAACCAAGTTTAAAATATCATAGTAAGGCTTTCCATATGCTAAAACATTTCATAAATAATACAAAAAAGGGGGAATTTACATATATATATATATATATATATAT